ATCTCTCAATTTTTTTAATTGCATGACAGCACTAACAGTAACGTTTTGATACTACTCAAAATGAACTCAGAAATAACTGGGTAGCTCCACTCCCATTTCAGTACCCCAGACAGACATCACCTGCCCAACAACAGGGAACAAGCCCTAACTTTTTTAATGTCACTCCACAAAACACTGAAACCTCAAAAAAAAAAAAAAAAAAAAAAAAAAACTGAGAGAGCATTATGCTGACTTTATGGAGAAGATCTTAAGCAAGGGCCATGTTGAGCCAGCTGTTCCAAAATCAAGGTAGTCTTTGATTCAAGTGTGTAACGTGACAATAATGACAATCTCTCTCAGTGATGTGCTGCTTAAAGGGCCAGATCTCAACTAAACCCTCATGGGGGTCCTGATGCGTTTCCGGACAGATCCATACGCAGTCATGGCAGATGTGGAGCAAATGTTTTACAACTTTGTGGTCAGAGAGGACCACCGTGACTACCTACATTTTCTGTGGTTAGGGTTAGGGTTCAAAAACCATGTTCTGGACAGAGAAGTAGTGCAGTTCAGGATGCAAGTCCATGTTTTCGGAAACTGCCCATCCCCATTAGTCACAATCTATGGGCTTAAGAGAACAGCCACGAAAGGGGAAACAGAGTTTGGCAGTGATGCAATGGAGTTCACTGAATGTCACTTTTATGTTGATGGACTGAAATCTTTCTCTTCTGCAGAGGAATCTATCAGTGTACTTTAAAGAGCTCAGAAAAAGATGGCACAGTGTAACATACCCCTGCACAAAATCTCATCTGTCATACCATCACAAGCACCTTCCCTAGTGAGGACCTTGCTACAGACATGCAGGGCCTGGATCTCGGACAGACATATCCTCCCATGCAGCACATCCTAGGCTTGGGTTGGGATCACCACAGACCTGTTCAAGTTTAAGGTGACAGTAAATGACAATTCATTCATTAAACGGGGAGTACTGTCAGTCATTAGTCATAGTGTGTGTTCACATATCCAATAATGTTAGCAAATGGGACACTGAACTGCTTCAAAAGAAACTGCTTCCACTGCTTCATTGGAAGCAGTGCAAAGACTCTCTCAATTACCTGGAACAACTCGAAATCTGAAATCCCCAGAAGGTGCACCTCAATGCCCCTGTCTGCAGATCACCGAAAAGAGCTCATTGTCTTCTGTGATGCATCCATCAAAGCTGTGGGTAACCAGGGGTGAGCAAACTACGGCCTGGGGGTGGTATGCAGCCCTTTAAAACCTTTTGATCTGGCCTGCCGAACTTGAATAAATTATAGTAATAAACCTTATTAATGTTTTATTTTTCCTGCAATTACGGCTGTGGTTGCTGCTGCACATAAAGTGTATCATCAACAGATCAAGAAACTCACAGACTCCATGAATGGAGGGCTTATGACCATTATTGAGAAGAACTCTGACTATATTAATCACTGATTTTTTATTCTTTTTGAAATGTCAGAAATGTTTGTTTGTAAATTTTGAGTTGTTTACTATTCTGACAAATGAAAATAAACAAGTGAGAATGGAAAATGTTCATTAATAATTCTGCACAGTAATAGTTTCCCAATAATTATACACACAGAGATGTTCTCCTAAGAAAGTCAAAACTTCACTTCACATATATTCAGGTCTGAGGTTTATAAAGATTTTGGATTGACCCAGAACACTATAGTTGTTCAATTATAAAATGAAGCCTCATAAATACAACTTGCCTAATAATTATGCACACAGTGTATTTATGAGAAAACACACTAAATTCAGATTATAATCTTTAGTTTTATTGGTCAAAAAGTGTTTTCAACAACAGGAAAGAGAATGATGCTGTTAAGTGACTTTCACAGTAAAGAAGTGACTGTTCAGTCTGGACCATTATTGATCTCAAATAACTTTTGACAAGCTTCAGTTTGCTGAACATCCTTTCCCCTCCTGTACAAAAGCTCTGTAGCTGCATGCTATAAATGGGATTAAGTAACTCAAGGGGTGAATGGGTATGGGAAAATGAGGATGAATAAATGGCTTTGAGGTGAAGCATTTCATTAATGAATTCTGCTGTGAGAGAGTGTCTGCCAGGATACCCTCAATCGATCTTCAGATATTTCCTCACCGGTACCACCAGGTCAGTTTGAAAACCGTGACTTGTTTAGAGCACAGTGGAGATGTGTACAACACCTGGCCAACGTCTTCTGGAGCCAAAAGCAAAGGAATACATTACAAGGCTTCAGCACTGCTGCAAAAGGTATAGCTGTCCTGATAGACAGCAAAATGAGCTTTTGTTGGGTCTTGACAATTCCCAGGACAAAGCTGAAGCATATCTCACTAAACATGAGATTTAGGGACTTGTAATATGGCGGTGGTGGGAGTACAATCTGGTCCAGATTCTTCTCAGAATGTTTGAGTTGACTGAAAATAAGTTACAGATTTCCATGAATGGTTTAGATTTCCATGAGATTGATAGTTCCCCTTTATCAGAAGCTGGGCAAACAGAGATTTACTTAAAAGAAAAAAGAAAAAGTAAGAGCCCTTATCAGTCCCCTGGGAACATGAACAGGTTATTTGAAGTGACTCGTTTTCAACATTTAACATTTTTTTCCTGGCAAAATTATCTTCCAGTAGAAAATCAGACTTTCAAACAAAATATATCTACTGAAAATAGAGTTTTTTTTTAATAAGTACAATGTATTTAAATTTATAATTTTTGTAGTACTAGAGAGCCAAGAGGGACGTAATGTGGCCTTTTTCTCTCAGTATTACTGTTCACAGTTTTTTTCGCAGAATAATCTGGTTCTTTCAAGCGGCGAGTCTAGACTCTAAATATTTTCAGCACTCCTAAAACTAAGAGGTCTTTGTATTGAGCTGACTGTAGAAAGAATGTCAAACTTAAGTATCTGCGCTGAAATATCCCGTGTTTTAAGTTTAAGCACAGACCGTATGTATGATCTTCTTACAGTCTATGCGCCTGAGTCGCGCACGCACGCACGCACGTGTATCTGTGCTCTAAGAAGCCGCCGTCTTTCAGCCAATAGCGCTGCGTATCTCGGCTCTAAGACCCGCCTCTCTCCGTCTGATTGGTCAGAATCACTTTGCGCACAGGCAGATGAAGCGCTAAGCTTTTGTAAACAGCTAACATACTTTTAATATAGTGTATTACCCTGTTAAATGATGAAATCGGCCTTTGTTCATAACAGTGTGCCTGCTGACATACAACAGTCTGGATTAGATTGAGAAGAACAACATAATTCAAAACCAGATTTAGCTAAGAATGTCACATAAATCTATAATTTGCCTGTCACAGAAAACAGAAGATCATGGACAGTTTATAAGAATGGCCTGTTGTATAGTATATAAGTAAAGTGAAATTATATGATGCCAATATCCTATCCGAAGTTTTGGATATATTTTAATGAGATTAAACCTATCGATCTACTATGATTGACAGCATAAAAGGCAAAGGAAATGACAACATGCAAACATTTGTGGGCGAGTGCGTTGCTTCTGTATTCCTCCTCTGGTGCTAAATTGTGCGAATTGGCGATTTCCTGGTCCTAGACTGTGATGACATCAGAAATCCCAATCCCAAAATGGGAAAGATAGCTTCAAAAAGTGCCATTATTCAACTTCAAAGGTATGATAAGAAGTAATCTGAAATGATTTTGATGCAGTAGTACGTTTCTATACACTGCGTTTAAAAAAAGAGCTCCTCCTTCGAGCCGGATTCGAACCAGCGACCTAAGGATTACCGCACTCACAGTTCAGACCTACAGTCCTCCGCTCTACCAACTGAGCTATCGAAGGGGATAACTTCATATACGACACTGTTCCTTTAAAAATGTACGGGTGTTCGGAGGAAACAAAATACGCTAAGTGAGTTTCTTTTCTATTTACTCCGAAATTTGTCCTAAATTTACACGTATATTCACACAACTGTACATGTCACAGATATAGGTTTAGACATTTTGTTTTAAAATGAACAGTTTTTTCCGTGATAAACATTTTCTTTTTACTGACTGACTAAATTGACTTACAGCTGACTAAATTTCTGACTGACAGCTGACTAAAATTCACTTCGTTTGTATTTATTCGCTCTGTACTTGTCCTCTAGCACCTCCACGTGTTCATTATGAGTATCAGACTGACAAAAGTCCAGGGATTTCAAACCTTATTAGTACCCAGCACTCGGGTACTAGGCAAATACATCTGTAAACACTGTATGTTAGCCTTCTATATTGTTAACTATTTCTATTATATTTTCTTTTTTAAATATATTGATGACCAAAGTTCTCTAAAACATGCTTGTTAAGAATTTACTACAAATAACATTTTTGTTCAAATGCTTTTCATTGTCACCTATTTTAAAATAAAAAAATAATTCCCATTCCCCTGGTTGAAAAATGCTGCTCTATTCAACACTTTTTTGTTTTAATTTCCGTTTAAGCAATATTGCTGATCTATCTGTGTGGCAGTGTAATGAAACATCTGTAAAGGTGTGTTTTCATTCAACCTACAGTTAGTACCTTTTCTTGATGCTGTGAAAAAATATATTGATTAAACATCTACCTTTTGGATTTCCTGTTATTCCTAATCTCAGTGAGGGGAAGAATACAGAATAGCCTGCTATAATGCATTTTTGTAACATATTCTGTTACATGGCGTAATCAGAGACTGTATTCAAAATTATTAGAATACTTTCACTTTTATGCTATTATATCACAAAAAATACCACATAGGATTAGAACTTAGATCTTTATTTTTGTTGCATCATGTTACTAATTTATTTATCACTAATTTGAGGAAAAAAAAGTCTCATGGAGCAGTTTCTTGTTTCTCACTGTTGCCTTGCAGTTTGTTGTCTAAATAGCAAGATCAAATGCCATAATGTATTCTTGCCCATGACACTATTCTCCATAAGAACATAACAAGCCTTTATGTAGGTGTAAATCAACAAATAAAAAGCATACGTTCATAAGTAATACAGTCCAACCAGTCAATTTCATTCATTCTTTATTTTTCCGTATTAATCATTCATACTCCAGCACATGTAGCAATATTTACACTTTTGTTTATTATTTTTTTGCATGTTTTGGAGCTCTCTTGTCCAGCCTTCTCTCTCAGACATAAAAAGACAATGGCACCAGAAAAATTATAGGCTAATTACTCAATGTGAAAATGGTAGTAGGCTACTGGCGGACACAAAAACAACACAGCAAAAAAGAAAAGCAAGATTTTTTTTTTTTTTCCTAAATTGATAAAGCAAATGTGAATAATTGCAGTAGCATACTCAAATTAAGAATTCAAATTTAGCACAGTTTAATTTTGCAATTTGCATTTACCTTTTTCTTTTTTTTTTTTTGCAAAAGTCAGAAAAGCAGTGACTTTATTGAACAAATTCTCAAAATGTCTGTCCAAAATATAAAGTGAAAAAGAGATAATCTACCAGCATAATCCTTTTCCAAAGAAGAAGAAGAAGAAGAAGAAGAAAAAAAGGGGACAAATCAGCTTAAAGGACTGTATACAAGTAACAATGCATTAACAATATTGGCTGTAAACCATTAACAACAAATAAAACAGCATAATAATAATAATGATAAAAAAAGACATGTACACATTTTGTAAAAAGTCCATTAAATCTATAGTGTCAAGAAAATACTATTAAAAGAAATGTGTAATTCTAATTCATGTTAAAATAATCCAAGTAGTTACCATAGGGGCAGTACCATCGTATTGGAGTACCATACTCTGAACTTTTGCTTGTATACACAGTACACATTTCTTTCTTTACCATAAGATTTGTACCATTGTGAGTCAAATATAGCTTAACTCATGGCCTGGGCAGTGCCAAGTTATCAAGACTATGTATGCAAAGCACACATTTTCTCATTACTATTTATTCAGTTACTAGTAACCCATTCACTAATCTGAAATGTGACAGAAAAACTTGAGTTGTAGGGTATGTCCACACATTTTCTCATTTTAAAACATAAAACTGTACGTAAAAGGTTGTGTTCAGTTTCAGTAAACAAATGTGAAATGTTTCCACAAAGTGGTGCTGTTATTCAACCCCAAAGATGTGAATGTTGTCAACTGAAAAGCCTTTAAGAAAAGTTTGTGGAACCAATCTCAAGCAAAAGATAATAGATGGATATTTCTATTTCTGTCAAAAACAGTGAACCTTCCACAGTTATATAGACCCTTGCCCTCCATCTGAAATTACCTATTAGAAATGGTGAATACTGGTATTCATGTGGCTGTTTTAGTCAAACTGTAAATATTTTTAGTGCCACTTTTTAGTTTTAAAATGAAAGTTGTAGTGGACATACTATTTGTAAAAACAGAATGATCCATTGCTTCTACCATGTAAAGCAAACCTTAATGTCACATGTGGCTGTCTAAACATTTACAAAATTTCCAACAAATGTTATTATAAATTCTAAAATAAGGTAAAATAAAACTTAAAATACATCAAAAGTAAATACTGGTACCTTTATATGTAACCTTTACCACAGTGGCTCAAATGTAAGACTTTCTGTTTGGTCTTTTGTCAATAAAAATAGTAAATTTATGATAATTTGAACTCATAAATAGACCTAAATAAATCTGAATAAACTCAAAAACAGTAAGAGGTACGGAATGACATTGCGCAATGATAACTGCATGTGATATGACCAGAGATTGACAATAACTTTCTTGCAACTAGGGCAAAAACAAATTGCAATTACAATTCCAGATACAATTTTAACATTTTTTATTATTTAGATTAAATTTTTATTTTAATTTCATATATTGCAATAAAAATATTACTACATAAAGCATTTTGCCAATTGGTTTGTATTATTGTCAAGTTCTGGACAAAAATAAGAGAAAAATATTATAGTACACGATCAGCGAGATGAGGTGTAGTTCCGTAAACCACCACCAGATGACGCAGCAGGAACGTCCAAACAGAAGGTAAACAAACGACACTCTCCGGCCTACAATGTACCAAACAAGTTAGTTCACTCTACGCCTATTCTACACTACATTCAGATGCCATCTTTCTTTCGTACTGCTACTTTCTCCCTGTAAACCATCTCCAAAAACAATCTTAAGCCTTCAAATCATCAATTTCTTAGACTTTTCTGTATATATGTACCATCCTAAACCTTAAAACCATCCTTGTCATGTCACTATCTCGCAGCAAAGCAAATCTAAGTAGTATTAGTACAACTCATTCTCTTCTATGGACATTTAGTACCTGTATTTAAATAGGCTAAAGAGTGTTTTGCTTGCTTACCATAATGCTACCTCAATCTCTTGTATTAGCTGATAAAATGTAATGTATTTAATAGGATTTTAGGGCAATGGTTCTCAAACTGAGGTACAGGTAACATAAATAAATTAATAAAAGCCTAGTCTTGGTTTAAAATGGGTTTGATCCAGGTTTAATTCTGTATTAGATGCAGTGAAGTCCAAGTTTAGTCTATCTTTAGCTAGTAAGGTTAAGTAGACATGTTTTAGTCCAGGTTTAGATCTGGTTTAGAACTGCTTCAGTCCTGGTTTGGAACAGGCTCAGACTCAAGTAGTAGTTGAGATGACAGATTAAGGCACCCAAATCCTAATTTAGTTATGCATTCTGTAGTTTAGTCTGTGTTTCAGACCTGGTTTAGTCTGGTTATAAACCTGGTTTAGTCCTGGTCTAAAAGTTTTGTTTGTTTAGTTCTAGTTTACTCAACTGTGAACGCACCATTGTTTTATCCTGTTTCAGATCTGAGTCTTGGTTTGGTCCAGTTTTAATCTGGTTTAAAACTTGGTTTCAGATCTGGTTTTACCATGTTATAGATGGATAAATACAGAGATATCCCAAGAGAAATTGCAGTGCAGCCTGTTGCTCACATTCAAAGTCTAGTCTTGGTTTTAATCCTTACTGAGGAGTGATTCAAACCACAATCCAGTCTCCATTTTGACTAACAAATATCTATCCCTAATTTTGAAAGTTGAATATTTCTGAGGAGATACTTGTAGAACATTAGAGAACCATTGCCCTGTGTGATTTTAAGTGGTTAAAAACCCTGCAAAACAAAATCCAATGTCTTCTATATCCCATACTGTAGTACATTTAAGTGCTGGCACAGAGTCCCATTCCTTTGTCTTTGAGATGTCTTGATTTTGTTGCTGGTTTGATCATTTTTCTGTCAGTCCATCGTCTTCTGTGATGCCCTGCGCTCTGAGCTCCTCCAAAACGTTGTCCAAATGTCCAGCGTCAGGGAAACCATGGCCCGTCAAATTGGAGCCAAATTCTGTCTTATGGTGGACCTAGAAAATTTGAAAAAAGACAATTGAGAAAAAGAATAAAATTAGCAAGTAGAGGCAGACAAAATGCAGACAAAATGTGAGAAACTTTAATCAAAACTAAAACTATACCATGCTTTGTTTCTTGTTAAAAAAAGTTGATGCTGAAGTTGTGGTTTAGTTCAGATTAAAGTCCTGGTTTAGCCTGAGTTTTAAGAACCTCAGTCTATTTCTAGATTAGTCCTGGTTTAATGTATATTTTTGGTGTTAACAGGCAAATCAGTGGAAAAAATTATTTTGTCTGCTATGGATTCCCTTTAGCATAGACAAGCCAATGCTTCCGGGGGTCCTAGGGTAACAATATCTGCATTTTCAGTTATAAATAATTATCTTTTTGCAACCACTGTTAAAAATAACTTGGGACTGATTGCTTAGATTAAATGGTTGGCAATGACAAGATATTTAAATGAACTGTATATAAATCAGATTCATATGTACGTAATGGTGACTTGTGAAACAAAAAAAAAAAAATGGATACATTCTTTTTATGTATAAATGTATTTAGTAATTTAAGTTGTGTTAAAGTACCTCGTTCCAGATGACTGTGTCTGACTCTCCTGTGGTGCTTGAAGTTCCAACGGAGAAGATCAGCCTCCGGTCCCACGCCACCAACAGCAGTCTCAGCACCTGAGAGAAAGAAAACACATGTGATGAAAATATCTTAAGGCAAGTCCAAAATAGACTTATAAACAAAAAGATCAAATAATACTGCAAAATACTTGAACATTAAATGAACTGTATGTAGCCTGTACAATCACAACTGAACCTGCCAACCTTACAAGAGTCTTAACCTGCAGATAGAGGACAAATCCAATTTGTTTTCTCAGTATATGGACAAGCCATGCCTCATGTGAAAGTTCAGAACCTCCAGTATTCACTCACTGAGCTGCAGAGGCTGCACCAGCACTGAATAATGATTGGCCACAGTGAGAGTCCTTAATTCAATTTTGACATTAAATCTGGCAACTCAAATGATGGATAATCATTTTTAAAACCAAACATCCAAATTCTAACATAATTAATAAAGCAAATTTCTTGAATATTTTTGTAGTTAAGAATAAATCAACATCACAATAGTTATCAGCAAAAGCTATATTTAATTTGAACATGTTTATGTCTCATCTCAGCAGACACAGTTAGGTTTTATTTATGAAATTTAAAATCCAAACTTTAAATACAGTTCCTTAACTCTATGATTTACTGTGCTGCGTACCTTGCGTCCTTTCTCGCTGTCTGGGAGGTAGCAGTGTCTAGGGAAGCCTCTGGCAGTGTAAGGCTTCCCTGGGTTCGGATGCTCTGGTCCCTGCAGGAGGAGATATGAACACAATGTAAAATAATGATCTGTTATAATTTAATACTAAATTATATTTTATACACACAAAACAATCATATTATGTCTCATTTAAGCACCTGAATGCCTGGTGGTATGTTGTAGATGATGCGTATGGTTTTGCAGTCGGGGTGTCCGGGCAGAGAGTGGGGGATCACATGGTACTCCATCTTCCCCGCAGGCTGGTTCCCTGTCTTCACTCCATAGATGGTTTTACATGTGGGACACTGCAGGCTGCAGGAAGACCAAAGATAAGACCATATTTGAGGTTTAGGCCAGTTGTTCTCAAACTTTTGACATCAAGTACTACCAAAAAAAAAATCTGATAAAAGGTGAAGAATGAAGACTATCCCAAAGGACAACACATTTAAGAATATATATGTCCCTAAATCAACAACAACACATACAATTGTAAAGCGCCCTGTGCATCTGTATACAAGTTATTCATTATTTCATGTTGACATTTTTTAACAACGTTTTTGCACTGCAAATGCATCAAGAATCGTAGGTCCAGCATCATAACAGAAATGTCTCTCTAAACTGTAAACATTTTTTTTTATCATTTCTAATATATGTATCTAGGGTATTGTTTATCTCCCCTGCCAGATAATTTAGCCTGATACATTTGTGAGAAATACGACATCATTCTAAAATATAGAACAAAAATTAAGGTATGAATAAAACAAAAAAACTTGATACGGCCTGTTTGTGGAGTGAGTAGTGAGTTCCTACCTGCCATCCTTGTTGCCGTTGTTATACATTGCCACCAAACACTGAAAGTGATACTGGTGTCCGCACTGAGCCAGGCGACCCACAGATTCTGCCCTAGATGCAGGCCCCACACCTGGGCCTTTGTATCCTGATGGCCCCCCCAGAGGCTCCATACAGATCGTACAGTCCTGGAGAACACAACAGAGCAATTCAGTATGGTATAATATTGTTAAAAAACTATACTCAGATACTGATGGATACTGGGGTGAGTTCACCCCAACAGGGTCAAGTGTGAACGCATCAAAAATGTAAAAAAAACTAGTTACTAATTTGAGTTTACTGCAAGCTTTTAAATATTTCAATATTAGAATGGGTAAACAGTTACATTAGGATTTTATTATTTTTTTCCCAACATATTTAGGACCGTAAACAAACCTCTTCAGGGGGGCTCTTTACTTTCTGTAGGTATTTCTTCACTACCTCTTCTGGAGTTTTACCTACAAAAAAGCATTTGAATTCAACATTTAATTAATTACAATTACACAAATGCATATGTATACATCAAAGCAAAAAGTAGGAACTCTCATAGTACTATTAATAAATGATTAAGTGATAGAAGGATGCTTTCTCCAATTTTGTTGCCACGCATTTGGGTCAAAATAGTTTTGCCCAGTACAATTACACTGCATAAGCAGCTTTTGGTCAAAATAAGTCCACTGTGTACTGTCTGCATCTAATAATAAAGCTACTGTCCAAGAATCAGGAAGAGCGTGGTTAGCATGCTAGTTTTTGTTGGCAAAACTTTATTGTGGCCTCTGAAAATTGTGAAAAGTGCTTAAAAACACATTGCAGTGAACAGTTAGGATGCTCAGAATAACTGTGGACCAGTGCAAACTGTTTACCATGAACTACTTCTGTTTTTCACATTTTTAAGATGGTAAAAATCAGGTATACAACGCTTTAATCCTGAACAAAAATTCACATTCAGTTGAAGAAACATCTCTACTACTACTTAATAAAGAGCCTAAGGATTCCAGGATTCAGCCTTACAGTCCTCTGTTCTACCAACTGAGCTATCAAAGGACATGGCTCATATTTTGGAACAGGTGTAGAAGCAGAAAGCCAGAGGGCACCACAGACCTGTTTCCACTGCTCTAAAACACACTGGAATTCACCACAGACACATGACACTTTGTGCGTAAAGGACAAGTTGGGACACTACATGGGAGGTGGCACTATGTATTTGCCTGTCAGTGGAACCAGTTGTACTTAACATGACATCTTTAAGTTTAAACAGCCTCTATTTATTTATTTATTTATTTATTGTTATTTCTACAGCACCATCATTTGGTTGGTTATGCTTATGTTTAAAATGCATATAATATAACAAGACTTTATGTTTTTGAAATAACATAACGGTTTGTGATAGATAAGCATCAATGAAGAGTCAGTTTGAGAAGAGAAGTTGAACATTTAAGGAAGAAGCTGTCAGTTCTCAAAAAGAACTCATCTATGCAATCAATACATACAACTCTATCCAAAATGCAGGGACAATTTATGCACAAGGAGCATTATAACTATTGTTATGATTTAGATATGATGTTATTAGATAAAGTTTGGCACTTGTTTACAGTATGGTTGCTAACAGTTAGGGAGTTGCTGCTGCTGCTCATGATAACCAGGAAGTAAATTTACGCACTTCACAAAAATAGTAAAATTAGGGAATATTGGGCAAGATTTTTTTTAGCTAAATCATGCAAAAAATATAATAATGTTAACTATGTTTCAGTGAAAGCAGTAATCTAACATATGAACTTTAACTTTAGATCTACAAAGATGCTACTGAATCAGTGTGTGTATGAACTCTAAACTAGTGTAGTGGTTGGCTGTACCTTTGCGCGTTTGCTTCTTGGTGGTCTTGCGGCAGCAGTGCCCAAAGCCGGGCACCGGTTTGATGTCGCTCTTGGAGACGGGTGGGGGGTGCAGCACCAGTTTGGGGGGGCGGGTCAGACACACGGGCAAGGCAGCTGCGCTCATCAGGATACCAGTGATCCCTGTGGAAACATGGTTTGGGGGATTGTTAAGAAAATTACTACTGGGCTTCAGATGCCATTAAAACATTCTATAGGTCAATAATATTTAATACAGATGGAGCCAGGTGCAGATTTTTGTTGTGATACAATGATTTCTTGTCTATTGTCAAAACTAAACATTTTCTCATTCAGCCTTTATGAATTTACCTTCTGTATATTTCATGGCAAAGTACAATGTCTCTAACAGCTGAAAAGTGCTTAAGGCAGTGAAAATGGCACTCAAAAATTAGGAATCTTGAAATCCACAAGGTAAGTGAGGAATAATTAACCAATGCAAACTATTTAAAATTAACTAGTTCTGTTTTCACAGTACTGTAGTTTTAATAAACCAAAAATGTACTCCTTCAAGCTGGATTTGAACCAGCAACCTAAGGATTCCAGTTGCATTCTCTGCAGTCTGCCACCCTTCCAACTGAACTATGGAAGGGGCCATGTAAACAGTATTTGTTTGAGGAGAATACATCTAGGGGGATGGGTTTTCTAAGTTTACTTTGACAAATTGTTAAGAATACAAAAAAAGAATCATTTGGCTTTTCTAGCTCAAATAAATACCATTACTGGATCTAACAGGATTTTTGGAAATTTTAAATTTTAAACAAATATAAGGCAGTTTTGTCAACCATTGACATACTATATTACATTCAAAATTGAAGTATTCAAATATAATTAAACCAAATATGTTCTTACCAGCAAGTGCAGGGTGAACAGGGCTAGATCCATTAAGGTTTTTCACTGGGACAGTTGGCACACTGGAAGAAAAACAACACAGTATAGTTTAGAATTCTTTTACATTTTTTGATAATATTACTTTTGGATTTTCAAACTTTGCAAAATAGTAATACTTCAAATAACTGAATGAGTTCCATATTATTCTATTTGTACGTTAGGGGCCCTGTCTGATACCTCTCTGAACCAAACAGCAGTAGCTCCTTTTGGAGTTATAATGTCATGTTATTTAATGCTATACTGTGTAACACTCCAGACCAAGCAATAACATCTCCACGGCGACAAACAGGTGCATGCCCCTCAGCAGAAAAGCTTAAAAACTCACTTGGAAAAAGAGATCACCGTCATGTTGAAAATTTTGAATCCCCCAAAATAATGATACATGAGATTTAAAACAACAAAGTCATGTGTCTGGTCAGTTCCTTTGCCTGTGTTATATTGAATGGACTGTCTCTCAGTGTCATGTGGAGTGGATAATATGAGGGCTAATACTGTGAGTTTCCATCTGCTCAGAGGTACAAACGTCACAGCGGCCCCCCCACGGATTACCTCCTTGTCATGAAGAGGCCGTCATAATCACTATAATACTATCAACACAAACAGGCCAAGCTGCTCAACGCATAAGAGGAGTGAGTCTGAATTCAGGATTTGTTAAGCCAATACTGTAGTGACATAACAGCATTATTGTAGTTTGTGTTCAAAATAAGGCTTCAACAACTAAACAGATTATTATAAATCAACTGACAACTAATTTAAAGGTAAACTATATGTCACAGTATGATTGAATTAAACGCATTTATAATTAATTTAATTTAATGTTTTTATTGCGCAAAAACTATCTGGACTCAGAAGTGCAGACACAAAAATAACATTTTGCTTTTTCTTCCCTCACTAAGTTAGGAAAGTTAATTGGCAATTTCAAACCAAATGAATTATTAAAGACCTTCACATTTTTATCTTATTTTAGCTTTGGTTTATAATTTAGCAAAACTATTTCTGTATTTAATTGAATTGTTAACATTTATTAACATTTTATTAAGATTAATAACATTAACAGGTACAGACAAAACAGGGAACAAATACAATATACAGTAATATTTTGTTTAAGTGCTGATAAGATATTTGATTGGTCCCCAGCCTAATACAAAAATATAAAATAATAAGATACATAAAATTAGCTACAAGTATGATACCTCCAAAATAAATGAATATAAAGAAATATATGCAAAACTACACAAATACTAGTAGATTGCGACTTAAGCTGTTGTACTGTATTGGGGTCACTGACAGGTTAGTCTTTTACAGTTTACCATTTCCCCCTGAGGCTAAGGCGGGTCTGAACTTAACTCTTCAAAGTCAATAGTCTTTCTCTGCTGCCATAAAACATGACAGCAACAGAAAGGTAAAAAAACCCAAAACAAAACCAAAACACATGAGTTAAAAAATTCTTCCTTCGAGCCGGATTTGAACCAGCGACCTAAGGATTCCCACATTTACAACTACAGTCCTCCGCTCTACCAACTGAGCTATCGAAGGGGTCAGTGCTGCCTCCCCCATTAGTTCACTTGGTGTTGGTGAGATCCTTCCTGGAGTGATATGGTGTGAATTACTTCGTACACAGTTTGGTACTTATTTGAACATTCTATACCATTCATTTTAATAAAACAGCAACATAAAAACATTACTTTTGATATTACTGGACACAACAGACAAATGGCTGTTGCATTCAGGTTTGTTATGTCCAGCAAAAAGTTAATATCTAACTTGAAATATCTAACTCCAGTTCACTGATATATGCAGAATTTGTGCTTCCAATGTTTTTACTGTGAAACTTTTGTGGCCCACTACATTTTTGGTGCATTATTGTCCAGCATGACGTCAGATTTAAGAAATGTTTACTATGTGGTTGTTAGCTTCTACGGTAATTTCAGTGATAATTGCTAATGTTAATAATCTACATAAAAGTGTTACATGTGGCATGTTTTCTATCAAGGCACTGGTATGAGTCATTGAAAAATAGATTAAACGTATCAATACCGCATACACAATGATGCAATGCTTCATTTGTCCAGGCATTTTATTGCTCAAAAATACCCTGAAAAACATGAATGCTTACAGTAAGCAGGCTTGCCCCTCCACAGTTCTGACCTGTAATCCAGCGTAGTGGTGTCACCTGCTTGTCTCCATGAAGATCAATAGAATTAATATCATAGTACGGAACATTCCACAGCAATATCAATGTGTCAATGGCATAAATTTGTTTCAATATTATTTCATAAATTTCTTGAGAAATTTTCAGTAGCAAAATATCACATTTAAAATTTTGTTAGTGTGACAGGGCAAGCAATAATGGGCCAAAGTCCAGTTATAATCTGTTATTTCCTGTTGGTTTAGCATTGCTAGGGTAAGCAGCTTTCTGAAATGACTCACTATATTATGTGTGTGTTAATAGTAATCCGACGCTAATGTTCAGCACATGACACAAGACGCGGGTGTCAAAATGAATTCACACTTTTAGAGACTGTTACGAAAATATCCTTTTCAGAAGTAAAATGAGCACACGTATACAAAAAAATATAGTAGAAGTAGTTGCAGGTAGACCTGTCACGATAACATATTTTGAAATGTGATATATTGCTTAAGTAAATATAGGCCATAAACAACAATATTGAAACTAATCTATGCCACTGACACAATAACTTGTGCAGAGTTAAAACACAAAAAGTACGGCTGCAGAATGTAAAAGCAGACTGAAACTCTTAATACTTAGTTTGCAACTTTACTAAATTATAGTTCATTCAAATTCTACTGCTCAAATTTTATCATAGCCAAGAAATAACCAAAGATTTCCCACTAGTGCAAAAATGTACACATGATAAATATTGACCTAAAAACAGCAGCAGCTTGACACACAAAGAAGAAAAGAATTAAGTTATTTAATGCATGATATCAACTATGGGAATCACCTTCAGTAGGTCCCTAATATCTACACTGCAAAAGAATATCTGTAAATTAAAATAACATATTACAAAGGAAAAGGACAAAAACATCTCCTCCTTCGAGCCGGATTTGAACCAGCGACCTAAGGATTTCAGCTTTGAGCACTACAGTCCTCCGCTCTACCAACTGAGCTATCGAAGGGGCTGTTGCAGGGTGTCTGCTATGTCAAAGTGATGATGTAATCCTTCATGTGTTAAACTTTTACCATTGAGAGACAGGATGGACTGGGTCTAAACTGAAGATAAAGCAGGAATGGAGAAGATAGACTCCAACTCAAATCATACAGGGGCTGCATCAAATATAAAACAGATCGGAACCAAGAATCAGGACTAAGTCAGACCTAAAGCACAACAAAAAATAACCAGGATTAAACCGGTACAAGACAGATTTCAACCATGTCTAAAGCAGGACTACTACATGACTATACAAACCAGATAGGGATGATTAGATGACAAGATTAATCTCAGTCTAATCAAAATCTGAATGGACGCAAATTAAAGTGGAAGTAATTTAGTAATATACATGTTTTTGTATATGTGATATGGTATTTCAAATGTATGCCGGAAATTGTTTTGTACTTTTTTTGTACAGCTAATGGGGATACAAATAAATAAACAAATAACCTGACAATGAGCCCAATGCCCAGAGCAGTGTGGGGCATTCAACACAGAACTGTCCTGTAGATGCTGTTTACTAGGGGGAAGGTTATGTATAGGAGCGCTGCCTCTTGACCTTTAACCCCTTGGAAAGTTTAGCCTGGGTCCCACACACTCCTGGAGCTTTGTCCCTCTGTCTCTGTCCCAAGAGACCAGATGGTCATCAGCTGGAAGGCCCTAGATGCCGGACAATGGACACTCCCCCATCAAGGCACACACATAGTGACACACAAGCTAAGGCAGTGTATTTTTCCTTTAAGTTGAGGCACACTTTTTTGGTTAAAAAGATTGCAGGACACATCACCAAATAAAATACTATTAAATTACAGATATTATATGTATTAAAAAATCTCCTTGCCCCTGTGTCTAGTTCGTTCTATTTGGCAATGATGATTGTTTTGTTTATGAGCTGGTTTAGATGTTGCTCAGGACATTACAAAAAAAAGGCATTCTGACTGTGAGAGGGGTTGTCTTGCCACAGATCTGACCTGTAACTAGGTCTAGTTTGGTCTCCATGATGAAAGAAAGGTTTAATACCATACTGTGAAACATTCCAGACAAAGCAATAACATCTCCATGGAGAAAAGTATTTGACGGACCTTTCACGAGAAAAGTTACACAATGCACCTTTAATATAGCCTATTAAATGTAATTGTTGCTTGCCAGATAAAAATATGAGATAAAACATACATTCTAAAAACATCAAACTATAATATGTAAATAAATTACTTCATAATTTTCTTGAGTTCAAAAATATAAAAAGTGTTGTGTTGAAAACAAGAAAAAAATTAATATTATGCATTAAAAAAAACAAAAAAAAAACTACAAATAGCATTAATACACATGAATAAGATAAACCTTTACATTTATTTCTGAAATCTGATGAGCTGCAAACATGTCATCAGATTGTTATTGGGTCATTTTTGTGAATGTTGTCCAATTCTATTTCAGAACAACACAAAACATTACAATAAGCCAGGCGTTTCAGCATTTTGACGACCCTTCCCATTCAGAACTTATAATATTTTGTTTATTATTTATGTATGTTATTCTCTATGGCAACAGCCCTAATTTCTCATCCGTCTGAAACCCACGGACAGAATTTATCATTAACCAGGTGCTGTGTTCCAGTCAGTTTATATCCTGCTCTCATTCTCACACTTCCTCTTGCCTGGTTTGTTTTGCCCCTTCTGCCCCTCCTGTCGACACACAAAACTTTTTTTCTCACACTCATCTATTGCCTTTGTTTCGACCCCACTGCCCCCCTCTCCTCCCTCTTCCCTCCTCTACCCTTAACACCCCCCTCCCTCCCCCCTTACAAACACATTCTTCAGTGCATCTCCTCCTGTCTGAAAGGTCAATATTTG